TGTGAGATGTGTGTGTCCCAAGTAGCATTTTAATCACTGGGTAAAACGTTCACAGCATCTCTTCTTAGTTTCAATAGGAACGGTTTCTCTTTCTTTCTCATATTCTCTTGCTAAGACTACTAATGTCACAAATGCATAATGAAATCACAAATAACACATCTTTTAGCCTAATTACCTCTTTTCCAGGCATACTTTTCTTTTCTCATCTCTCCCACACACTTACATAGCTCATCTGTTCAGATTTCACTAATCATCTTGCTTTCCTCATTTTTCTTGAAAAATGACTGTCATGTAAGCAGAATTTTGTAAATATTAAATATATTCTAATTGTGTTCCATTTGCTTTTAAAATTTTGCATAAACTTCTTAATTTAAATATTTATGAATTCAGAAAAGTGAAATAAGCAATAGAAAAGACACAATTTGAAAAAACATTGAAGTTATCATTGCAATACTTTTTTCTGAGATTTCTTTATGTTTTGGTGGAATTGATTAAAATAAAATAAAGCCATGCATATCAAAACAGAAAACATTTTAGTGAAGGAGAAGGCAAACAAGGTAAGCACTTAAATGGTTATAAGTACTATTCAAAAAATAAAGAGTAGGAGTGTGAAATAATGCAACCACTTTGGAAAATAGTCTGGCAATTCCTCAAAAAGTCAGAGCTGCCATATGAACCCACAGTTCCATTCCTAGGTATATACCCAAAAGAAATGCAAACATATGTGTACACAAAAATTTGTGTGCAATGTTCATGGCAATATCATTCATAATGTCTAAAAAGTGGAAATACTACAAATGTCTATTGTCTGAAGAATGGATGAGTATATTGTGATATATCTATACAATAATTTATTTTCTGTAATTAAAAAATGAAGTATCTATACGTGGATAAACCTGGAAAACATTATGATAATAGAAAGAAGCCAGACACAAAAAGTTACACATTGCATTAGTCTGTTTATATGAAATCTCAGAAAAGGCAATGCAATCATGGTTTCCTACACATGTGGGATTGGGAATCTGAGGTGGAAGGAATAATGCATAAAGGATGGGAGAGTTTCTTTCTAGGGTAATGAAATTGCTCTAAAACTGTTTTGATATTTATATGAATCTATGAATACAGTAATATCTATTGAATTATTAAAATATCAAATGTATCAAAATTAAGAGTTTGTGTTTACCAATAGACATTTGAATTAAAATGAAAAAATAAATTAATAGAAAATATTTACAATACTCATGTGACAGTTCTTCAAAAAGTTGCAGAGTACTTGGTTGATGTATTGGGCAGACATCCTTTCTCTTGGTGAAATGGTGATGATGACACAGTTCCTATCTTTTGTGTCTAACTGCCTTTATGCAGGCCCACTGACAAGCATACAGTCTGTATAGAAGCGAATTCAAGCCTAACTTAACTTTGTTTTCCCAGTTATTTGAATAACATTATTAATTCTGGGCATCCTTGAATTCTCTGTTCCTCATATTATTTTTAAAATTTATATAAGGTGAACAAATTTTGTGTTTCTTAGATACAGATTTAGGATCATAGTGATACTTCCCTCCCTCCTGCCCACAATCCTACCCTCCCTCCTCCTTCCTTCCTTATTTTTTCTTTTAATTTTTACAATGACATGTCTTCAGTTTATTTCATAATCATAAGCTCAACCCTCCACTAAATAAAGAATTCAACCAATAGTAAAAAGAAAAAAACACTGTCCCTCAAATGTAGAGACGGGTTATAAACAATAGTCATACCTCAAAATGTCAATTTTGCTCTTGAAACCATAATGCTTGGTGAAATAAGCCAATCCCAAAAAGACAAATATCATATATTTTCCCTGATCAATGGTAACTAATAGAGCACAAATTAGAATTTAAAGGAGATTTACCAAGACTCTGAAGCTAATACACCAAAAAGAGATATCCAAACTAAAAATCAATATGCCATTAATTATGATGGCACAGTATCTGTGCTGGATTTTTAAACAATATAATGGAAAAATACATTCAATTTTACTTTAATTTTCAATGACATATAAGTCAACTTCTATCTGTTAAAGTTTCCTTCTTCAGGTGATAAATAGAAATAAATGACTGAAGTATTTTTTTACTGATCTGTCACAGTATATTTTGATGGATCACACAGAACAAATGGTGTTTTAGGAAGATGTTTGAAAGTAAACAGGTAGAGGAGTGTGTCTAAAAGAGGTCTAACTAATTTATAACCCTAATATTACAATTTAACCAGCCACTGATTGATCAGCAGGAAAGTTTATAAGAAAATTATAAAGTTTGGATTATTGAAAATTAACAAAGAATGCAGAATTAAAAACTCTACATTTAAAATGATACTACAGAGGCAGTGTTGTGCAGTAGAGGGCCACAGCTGCCACTTGGGACACCTACATTCCACGTCTGAGTGCCTGGGATCAAGTTCCACCTCCGTTTCCAATACAGCTTTCCGCTAATGCTTTTGGGAGCAGATATATTGTGCAGTACCTGAGTACGTCCAACATGAGATCTGTCATCTTCCACAGCAGGATTTGGTGATACAAATGTGGATGTTTTATTCCTCTTGTAATATTCATAGTTTGTCTCCTGTTTTTCTACTTTAAAAAAAAATTGGATTTTTATGTTAATGGGTTCACCTATTTTTTTAAAATTTATCATAACACACAAAGTTCTGGATCAGTGGTTAGCTGTATGGCCTGCTATGGTAGTCAGATACTTGTTAACAGCCTCCTCTTATTCTCAAAGCAATTATTGCCCTTTCTGGGAGTATGCTTTTCTACTCCATCCCTAAAATCATATGATTCCATTAAAATTTGTAACTTTATTATATTTTCATATTCTGAACCCCTGACTGATTTAGGACCCACAAATCCATGTGAGTCACCGCTTCCCAACTCAAAGATACTAGATCAAAGGGTACCACTTTTTTTCCAAATTAACATTATCAGTGCCATTTTCAAGTTGTTTGAACCCAACCCATTATTTTGGTGGACGTGTCCTTAATGTTTAAAATCCAGGACAGGTCAGTGACCATGCTTCCTGCCTGGGAAGGTGGGCAACCCTGACAGAAAATAAGCTTACTTGAGGAGTGTGACAGCAATGCAAGACCCTGGGTGAGGGTCAGCTCCGGGGCTCTAGTTGTTTCCAACATTCAACACAAACCTGCCCTTCTGCTCCCTAGATTGTCCCCATTTTCTAGAACAAAAGAGCTGATGGCCTTTGGATATGAATTTGTCTAATTCTTGCAACCAAAGAAAGTGTAAACCAGTAAGTGTGGGCAAGACTCCAGACTGCCATATTTTAAAGAAGGGAACTTGTTAGCTTACAGTCCTAATTCTAAGTTCTTCCATGGCTATTGAATCTCAGCCTACCCCTAATCCATGAGATAAAAAAATCATGCTGTATTTTACACTCAAAGTATAGCAGATTTGTATACCTGAAATAATCAAGTGGATACAGAAGAGGATCTTTTTAAAATATGTGTTCAAATTATGCTAAAGACTAGATGATTAGTTGAAAGATTTTTCAGAATCACATATATATATATGTGTGTGTGTGTGTGTGTGTGTGCATACACATATAGTTGTAGATTCAAATAGTTTATGGTATGCTTTACACACAGTATGATATAACACTGCTACTGAAGGAAAATAAAATACATGTTAACACTTCTGAAGGGTTGCTAGAAAATAGATTATGCATTCACTAATGATTTTAATGGGGCTTAAAGCAAAATGGCATTTATTATTTCATTATTCTTGAGTATTGTAAGGCTACCCATTGTATAGGGGTACATATTGCAATAATGTAATGGTTTCTGATTGTCCATGACTACAGGCAAAACTTAGGCATTCTCTCAATTGTTTTTGATGGAATATTTTCGCCTGCATCTGTGAATGCTTCCTGATAAATGATCTCTCTTTCCTTCCTGTCGCTCATGGCACTTAGTGGTTGAAACATCCTGAGTTGCCTTCTTTTCCTCTTTGCATCCTGAATAAACATTAGGTGCTTCCTTCCACATTTGGGTCCAAATTGTTTTTTGTAGAGGGGCTCGTGCTTTTCCTTTTTTTTTTTTTTTTTTTTTGCCATGGACCTTTAAATCATTTTGAAACAGGAAGTCTCATGCTCCTGCTGAAATATTTCCCTTAGAGCATAAAGATGTTGGCTTATCATGCAAAGTTATTTTATTGTGAAACTCCTTTGAAACAGATAACTCAGTAAGTTGGGGCTGTATAAACGGCCTGACTGGATGGTCATATTTCATCTGCAGTTCTGTTTTTCTGCTATACATAGAAAATCTGACCAGGAAATTATTTATAGATGAAATATATCTTAAAAGAAACAAGGATGAAAATGCTGCAAACATGCTTCTTTTTTAAAAGAAGAAATGGAGCCAAAAGAAACAGAAATAAGTAATTACAAGTTGCATTAAAGGCATTATAGAAAAATGCAAGAAAATCAGTTGTGACTGAGAAAGAACAGCTGTGAGGAAGACATGGAAAGTAGACTTGTGCATGAAATGTATCTGCTGCGTGCTTGGCTTGTTGTCCTTTATATGTGCATTTTCTTTTTAAAATTTTTATTAATATAAAGAGAACAGGTTTCATGTATTTCATACATTTCATTCTAAGAAGATAATCATACTTCCCTTCATCTCTTAATAATCTGCTTCCTTCCTTTTTTTCTTTAATTTTTGAAAAACGTAATTTCGATCCACTCTATAATCACAGGCTTAATGAAGCAAGTTGAAATATGACACGTGTAATGGAATAGTATTAAACATATGTAGTAAGAGTGCGTTTACCTACAGTTTTGAATACCACATATGTGTTTAAAATGGCTCAAGGAACAGAGTTAGATGTAAATTAACACAAATCAAATGTCATATATATTTGCATTTGGAAGTACGCACAGGATTTTTACTAGTCTAAGATGAGTCCACATTAACATCTTATTTAATGGATGTTTTCGGGGTCTGTGTTTCAGAGTTGATCTACAATGAAGAAAGAACACATCTTTTGGACGTCTATATGCCTGCTGCTTGGTCTTGTCCCTGCCCCTGTTAGCTCAGCAGCCGAGGAAGATGAAGAATTCACAAACATTACAGGTAAAATGTTAGAAGCATTTATGTTTTGGAGCTAGTCAAATTCTTAGTTTTAGTCCAAAAAATTAATATATTTGTCCATTGTGTAGGAAAATGAATACTTAGGCAACTGACATTTATTTCTTACGATACTTCTTACATGCAATTTAGTGGTGCTGCTTTTTTTTTTAAAGTCCCAAAACAAGTTACTTCCGCAGAAAGAATTATTTTTAAGTCAAAGTATTTTATTATATGGTAAAGTGATTCTGGACTATTGTAAGGAGCTACGTGCTATAGAGAAAACTCTGAAACTTGATGCCAACATTTGCCAGGGAAAATACGAGCGGGACAGGGAAGCACTGGTGCTTGAGGTTGCGTCCACTATCTCTCTCTTGCCCACGTTCCTGAAACAAAAACTTCCCGTGGAGCCCAGTGCCAGAATCTAGTCATGAGGCACATTAAAGCATCTAGTAAGAGAAGTTGGTTTCACTCATAAAAGTTCAAAAACATTAACAATATTAATCATATTTTACTGTAGGTTGATCATAATTATACGCATAAGCCTCTCTTAAGAACAACATTTTGTGGCAAAGAAGTAAATTATTGATAAAAATCTCAACCTATTGGTTATAGAGAATATTAACAATGTATAGTTTCTTTAGCAGTTCAGGATGTGCAAAAAGATTTCCATCAACACATTCTTATTTTATTTCATAGCTATGAAAAATTCCTATGTTCAACATATTTCCCTTTAATAAAAGTTAAATATATATATGATGCCTGAAATTGTGGTTGGTCTTAGGGAAACATTGATGGTTGAGACTGGGTTTGTAAGAATCTCATAGCTTCAAAGGGGAGGTTGGTCAATAGAAAGGTTATTTCAGTTTAATGTGGCGAATGCAGTGACGGAAACACCTGTGCAGCTGTTGATGAAAGAGGAAGGTAATTCACGTAAGCCCATCATCTATGAGCCTGGTACAGGAAAGCCATGCTAGAAAAATTTCCTGGAGTTGCAATGTTTGCTATTCAATAAAGTAAAAACCATAATGTGTCTCTTGGAAATAGGAATATGGTTATTATGAGATGGGCTTTTGTCCTTTATTCAACTTTTTCCTCAAAGGGAATTGGGCTAAAGTTCTGTTTCTGTGGGTCATGGAAACAAGGAAGGTGGAGGATAAAGACACAGCAAGGAGAAGGCAGGTGCTCTTGTCTCGGGAAGTAGGAAGAGAATGGGTCCAAGTGCTCCCAATATTCTGCTGGCCAATCTCCCTCGGCTGGGCTGAGAAAATGCACACCAGGTTACCAGGAGAGCTGTGATTGTTGATGATGGAGAAACCACAATGAACTCATCAATGATAAGTCAGAATTCCCAAGCACTACCAGGTAGTTTATAAACCTAGAGGGATAAGAACTTTGATCTTAGCGAGGACTTCAAGTCCTCTTGGCTGGTTAGCTGCACAGTCATACTCAGGTTTTATATTGTTTTTCATGAACCTTGCAGCAGCATGAACCTAAATCTGAGTCATTTTGGAAGTGCAATTCATCACATGGTTCCAAAACTGCACCATACTTTATATTAATACACCACTCATTGAAATAGTGACTGTTATTCATATGAAACCATACCAAATTTTATGGCTTCCCTTACAAGACAATAGTGAAGTTTATTAAAAAATAATGTCAGCCCAATAACAGCGAGGGTAATCTAGAAAACATTTTTAAGACAAAATTATAATTAAAACTAGTCATGAAAATCTTTTTAAAAAATCCTTTCTGTTGGAACAGAAGCAACTAGTAGGAAGCACTTAGAGAAAGGTAGATAATTTTCATAAGATTTAGAGCCAGAGAGATCTGATTTTGCAGTTTTAATTTACCACACATTACCTTTGTGACATAACTGAATTATTTATACTGAAAATGATCATTACATTAAAATGTGAAATAAATTATATTTATCTGACTGCATTTGATTACACTCTTGTAACATTGCCATGTATGTGTTTTCTAGTTTCAGGGCCATAGGCATACGCTCTTTATCTCTGTCAGCATTTTCTGCAAGCCTCAATTTCAGGTCTCAGGGAAGTTACTCCCGACCCCCTCAGGCTTCTTTGTGTAACCTGTTGTACTCTTGCACAGCACCCTGCATTTTCTGAATATTTCTGTGGGTCTTCAGTGTCTGTATGTCCCATGAGAGAAGGCCTGCTGATCCCCAATATGCTGTCATGTCTGCAGTGACAGCAGTGTCTCACACAAGTTCAACGCAGTTATTAGTTTTGGAAAAGGTGTATCCAAACTAAGAAGGAAAAATTGAGACAGACTTCTGTCCTATTTGAGTGGAGTGACATAGCATTGAGTACAAGGGCGCACACTTGGCTACTCACCAGGTTCAAGGATGCTTTCAAATTCAGGTGTGAGTACCAACCTCAATGCCTAAAAGAATATTTTAAAACAGATTGAACAAACAAATACACTAAAAAGTGAATGGTAAACATGAATACTCATTTAATAATAAAATGCAGTTAATAAAAATTAATGCTTAGTATTTTCCTCTAGGAAACATAAAACTATCACCCACTTTGATGGCTGAAACTATTTAAAATATATTAAAGTAAATTTTAGAAAAAAAGTAATTGAGTGGAAATTGTATGACTAAACTGGTGTGCTTTATACAAATACGAGTTTAGAAATCTCAATTTTGCAGATGTGTGACTATATCACGCAGTTACTGAGTGAGACAGATGCTGTAACACTGCCTGGGGATCAAGGTTGAGCCTATCACTGATGCTGTGACTTTGAGTGAATTTGAGTAATTTAATTTCCACAATGTTATTTTAATATCTTTAAAATGGGTGCAATATTGCCTAACTGAGAAGTTGTGATCATTACATGATGTAACTACAAAATGTCCAGTTAAGGACAATAAAATCAGCTATTGTCATTACTACAACGCTGGTTTGCAATACTTTGTTTTGTGGTGCACTGTCGCCACTTGGTGGCGCAGTTATTAAATAGGCCCAGTTAGGGTGACTATATCCAGAGCGCAAAAAATATAAAAGATTTACTTGATGACAGAGACTACCAGATATGTTTAGTAGAGGAATCATCATTGAGAAAGGATCTGACACTAACTCCTGATTTATAAGACATGGCTTCCTGAATATATATGACAGCATAGCATTAGGTGGTTTCCAGTGTTCCACAGACATAGATCTGTCCTGAGGTGCTTAACTAAAGCTCTAAAGTAACATTAACTCAGGAGGGAGGACCACTACATTGTGAAGAGTAGTGCTGCAGGAATTTCTGACTATGATTGTATTACTCAAATGCCAAATTCAAAATGCCCGAATATTTCTGTTCCTGCTCATTTCTAAATTATGTGAGTTTTGAGATCACATCTTTATAGAATTGATAGATCAGATTTTTGTCAGTGTCTCCCCTCCCCCCCCCCCCAAAATGTCTACAGCATAGTAATTCGTAGTGCTAGTTCTATAGTATGTACTGCGGGTCAGCTACAAGGCAGACACCACCACCTCCTCTCAGCCTCTCAGCAAGACTCCCAGGTTCTCACAGCTTAACTGCTCAAAACCAGCACTGGCATTTGAGTGCCTTAAGACAGAACATATAGATAGCTTTTGCTGTAACGTATAAATGTATTATTCAGTAAAGGCATCCAGTGAGTGACGAACCCAAGCTGACAATCATGTCCGTGCTTAAGGAAGAATTTTTTTTTTTCAGAAGTCATTTTTGTTTATAAGCAGATATTTATCTAAGGAAAATATTTTCAGCAATCTTCTAAAATGCAGTTATATTTATGTTATAAATTTATATAGAAAAAATACTAGCTATTTCACAGAAATATAATTTCAAGGAAGTGTAGAGAAACACTTAAGGAAAATGATATTCTGAACTTCACTCTGAAGTATTCATTTTGGTAGGTAACAAACACTTGATATGCCTGAAAGCCCTTTTAAAGCCAATTCTCAAATTTCAGATAAGTCCATCAGCATATAAATTAGATGAAGACTTGTAGGGGAAAATAAGGGCAGGCGTTGTGGCTCAGCGATTGGGCTGCCTATTGGGTTGCCTGTATCCCATACTGGACTGCCTACCTCCAGTCCTGGCTACTCTGCCTCCAATCCAGCTTCTCATTAGTGTGAACCCCAGGAGGCAGCAAATGATAGCTCAAGTGTGTGTCCATGCCACACACTTGGGAGACACAGACTGAGTTCCTGCCTATTGGCGTTAGCCTGGTCAAGTCCCAGGTGCTGCAAGCATTGGAGGAATGAACCAGAAGATGGAAGATCAATTTCTATTTCTCTCTCTCTCTACCACTCCACTTTCAAATATACAGATACAAAAAAAAAAGAATTAGAAAAAAATGAGACATTAAATTTATACATATTAATCAATAATTCTTATCACATTGATAAAGATATATACATATATACTGATGACTGATAGGATTTACTGGCACTCTTATTAATAACAATTGCTTAAAAACTGTATTTTTAAATAAAAATTATATTTTGTCAAACATAAGTTGAAAATGCAAATGCACAAATCTATAAAATTCTATTTTAATTAAAGTTTTGACTATTATAACCTGCTAATTAGCCAGCTTATGACAACTGTATTTGGTGCTGAAGTTTGCCCTGTATCACAATAGTTCTCTGTTTCATTTTAGTTCTACCTTACCAAGTTTTAGGCCTGTGAAACTTACTATTCTATCATTCTCATCAGCTCAGTTTACTTCAATGAAAAAAATATTAAAATCTGTTATCAAATAGGTCAAAGACAGGTTATATTTTATAAGTTAAGGGCAAACTATTTAAAATTGAAAGCTGTGTTAGTAGCTGAGATATAAATCACAATCTGAAATAATTAGTGCTACATATATCAGATAGCATCAAAATGTCAACATACACATGGAAAGCTACATTTGAGAGGGAGGAGATGTACAATTTGGGACATGCTCAATCGGACTTGCCCCAAATGGTGGAGTTAGAAATGTGCCAGGGGATTCCAATACAATCCCATCAAGATTGCATGAACCGATGCCATCTCACTAGTCTAAGTGATCAATTTCAATTCACAATTGATCACACTGACAGGTCTAAGAGTAAAAGGGATCACACAAACAAGACTAGTGTCTGCTAATACTAACTGATAGAATCAAAAAGGGAGGGAATTATCCAACATGGGAAGTGGGATACACAGCAGACTCGTAGAATGACAGATGTCCTAAACAGCACTCTCGCCTCAGAATCAGCCCTCGGATCTGGCTGAAGAGCTCATGAGAGTATTTTAGGCATGGAAAGCCAAGACACTCTGGGGAAAAAAACAAAACAAAACAAAACAAAAACCGTAAATGAAAGGTCTCTGCTAGTGAGATCCCAGTAAAAAGAATGGGCCATCAAAGAAGGAGGTACCTTTGTCTGAAGGGAGGTGAGACTTCCACTTTGACTATGACCTTGTCTAAATAAGATTGAAGTCAGCGAACTCAAGAGGCTTCCATAGCCTTGGAAACTCATGACTAGAGCCTAGGGAGATTTCTGACACCATAAACAAGAGTGTCAAATTGTTAAGTCAACAACAGGAGTCACTGTGTACTTACTCCTCATGTGGGACCTCTGTCCTTAATGTGTTGTCCAATGTGAAGTAATGCTATAACTAGTACTGAAACAGTATTTTACACTTTATGTTCTGTGTGGTTGGAAACTGATTAAATCTTTACTTAATATATACTAAATCAATCTTCTGTATATAAAGAGAATTGAAAATGAATCGATGTGAATGGACTGGGAGAGGGAGCAGGAGATGGGAGGGGTGCGGATGGGAGGGAAGTTATGGGAGGAAAAAAGCCATTGTAATCCATAAACTGTACTTTGGAAAATTATATTTACTAAATAAAAGTTTAACTTATTTTTCAAAAAAGTCAACATACATATGGCAAGCTAATTTTTAAACCTTCCAAGATTGCAAGAACAACTTCTAAAATTTTTGAAATTATATTTGAAGGGCAGTATAAGAGAGAGAGAGAGAAAGAGGAAGGTCATCCACCCATCCAATTTGAGAGATCAAACCATCTGGTTTACTTCCCAAATGGCCACAGTGAAGACAGGAGCCAAAAACTCCATCTGAGTCTCTCGGGATTGTGAAAGGGTTCTAAGTATTTGGGCTCTCATCCACTGCTTTCTTAGGCACATTAGCAGGGATGTGGATTCGAAGTGGAGCTGCCAGGATTTGAACCCGTGCTTATTAGAGGATGTGGATATTCTAAGTCATGGCTTAATCTGCTTCACCACAGTGGTGCACCTTGCAAGAGAGAGCTACTTAAATGCCATAGTATGATTAATAAAAATAAACAATAATAATACAATTACTCTGTTATAAAGTCTTCTAACATTACTGAAAAATGCCCAGCACTTGATCTTATATCATGTAGATCATTATAATATAAAATATCAATGGTCAGGAGCTGGCGCTGTGGCGGAGTGAGTAAAGCAGCCTCCTGCAGTGCTGGCATCCCATGTGGGCCCCGGTTTGAATCCCGGCTGCTCCATTTCTGATCCAGCTCTCTGCTGTGGCCTGGGAGAGAGTGGAGGATGGCCCAAGTCCTTGGGCCCCTGCACGAACGTGAGAGACTGAGAAGAGGCTCCTGGATCCTGGCTTCAAGCGGGCGCAGCTCTGGCCATTGCGACCGATAAGGGAGTGAACCAGTGAATGGAAGACCTCTCTCTATTTCTCTCGGCCTCTCCTCTCTCTATGTAACTCTGACTTTCAAATAAATAAATAAACCTTTTAAAAAATCAGTGATTGAAGAGACTTTAAAATTCTTTAATCCAAATTTTGCGATGTGCATACTTTCTCTTTCAAAAAATCACATAAGGTTTAAAAGTACAGAAAATTTTTTTTAAAGATTTATTTATTTCTTTGAAAGTCAGAGTTACACAGAGAGAAAGAGAGTCAGAGAATGAGAGAGAGAAACCTTCAATCTGCTGGTTGGCTCCCCAGTTGACCACAACAAAGCTGTGCCAATCTGAAGCCAGGAGCTAGGAGCTTCTTCCAGGTTTCCCACGCAGGTGCAGGGGCCCAAGTATGTGGGCCATCTTCTGCTGCTTTCCCAGGCCATAGCAGAGAACTGGATTGAAAGTGGAGTAACAGAGACTCAAACCGGCATCCATATGGAATGCTGGCACTGCAGGAGGCGGCTTTACCCACTATGCCACAGCGCCGGGTCCCAGAAAATTTAAAATGGATTTCTTTCCAGGTTCCTGGCTTTGGCCGAACCCAACCCCAGCCTTTCAAATAGCTCAACAAATCTTTAAACATAAAATAAAATGAATTTCCTTACAAATGATCTCTCTCACAGATCCAAAAACTTAACTTTTATTCCATATTTTAAAAATGCTTTGTGTAAAGATAAAGTGACATCAATTCATGTTTCCTCAAAGTGAATTATTTTATAGTGCATTAACACATTTTTTTGAAGATGCAAGTTTAAGATACAAGACACTGGTTTCCATTTAATAGAATATTGCTGCCCTCTAGAGGCCAAATTGGTTTAGATTCTTGGAAAGTAACATCCCCAAAAAGGAAGCTATAATCAATTCTCAATGATATAGGAAATGCATAGCCTCAATAAATGGAAAATTCTTAAGGCATACTATACAGAATCCTTTTGTCTTTATCATTTTGATTGCATCAATTACAATTTTCTTTCTTCTTGTTTTTCATTAATATATAAGACTGCATTTGCTGTTACAACATGATGTTCTGAAATATGTGCCAACAGTAGAATGACTAATCTAGCTAAGTAATGTGTACTTTACCTCACATAATGATGATTTTTGTGGTGAGAACACTTTATGTTGACTCACTCAACATTTTTGATAATAAAATATAATATTAACTGTTGTCAGATTCCTTAAGTTATTCCTCCTAATTGAAATTTTGTAGGCCGGCGCTGCGGCTCACTAGGCTAATCCTCCGCCTAGCGGCGCCGGCACACCGGGTTCTAGTCCCGGTCGGGGCGCCGGATTCTGTCCCGGTTGCCCCTCTTCCAGGCCAGCTCTCTGCTGTGGCCAGGGAGTGCAGTGGAGGATGGCCCAGGTGCTTGGGTCCTGCACCCCATGGGAGACCAGGAAAAGCACCTGGCTCCTGGCTCCTGCCATCGGATCAGCGCGGTGCGCCGGCTGCAGCGCGCCGGCCGTGGCGGCCATTGGAGGGTGAACCAACGGCAAAGGAAGACCTTTCTCTCTGTCTCTCTCTCTCTCACTGTCCACTCTGCCTGTAAAAAAAAAAAAAAAAAATCTTAAAAAAAAAAAAAGAAATTTTGTATCCCTTTACCGTCAACTCTCTCCTTGCCAACCAACCACAAGTTTCAATACATCTTACCAGTAGATTCTGTAAACAAATGCAAGTTATTTAATGCTAGGCCTCTATTAATTTTATTGGATTTGATAAAAACTAAGTTGTGTTTCCTCTGTGCGCATATCCCCAAAGGGGAAAAACTCCCACAACTAAAATAAGAAATTGAATATTTAGAGAAAAATGTATAGCTCAATGTAAAAAGAATTGCCTCATTCTCTTTAAAACATTTTCTCCACATTTATACAAAACAGTCATGGTAAACATAAGAATGCACCATGTAGTATAAATATTTAATGTAGAATATCTATTTTACATGTGAATTTAAATATATTGTTGCTTTTAAAGAGGATTCGGTATGAAAAGTGAAGATTCCAAAAATTTGCATTAGTCTATGTCTAAAATCTGCTGAATTAAATGAAGAGGACTCTGTTTATTTGTAATATGGTCCTCTCCAATTGAGTGAGTTTGGCTCACCACTACTATTTCATCCCATCTCAATCAACTGGTACAGTCTGAAACAATAACTGTTAACAAGAGTCTAGAAAATTATGACTAAAGTGTAATACTTGGTAAAGTGTGTCTCCTTTGTTGATGTTAGCTTTTTATGTTTTCTGATGAACTTGTTTTATTGTACTTTCAATAAAATCAGGACATATTAAAAAGTGAAAATGGAGGAAATAACAGTATTATCGTTTTGGTAGAAGGTCACACATGATGTTTTTATTTTTACTTTGTAGATATTAAACCGCCACTACAGAAGCCGACACACTCATTTTGTGCAATGAAGGTAGATGATGGGCCGTGCAGAGCATACATCAAGAGATTTTTTTTCAATATTCTCACTCATCAGTGTGAAGAATTTATATATGGAGGATGTGAAGGGAACGAGAATCGATTCGAGAGTCTGGAAGAATGCAAAGAAAAATGTGCACGAGGTAGATTTCTGTAAATCTTTATTATCCAAGAGACTAGAGTTTTTGGGTCTAATCCTTGATTTGACACTTTTAGAAAAAAGTAATGCAATACTATTTTAATATTCTCAAGTAATCTTTGTGCCATATTTTGAGCTTTCACGCTCGAGAATTGTTTTTCATCTTTCTTATCAGTTATTAGGAAATCAAGTCTCTTTTGTTGGCATACAGTCTTTTCCAGTTCACAGAACAAGTTTGCACTGGCAATGAGATGAATGTAACTCAGCCTTCCCGGGTAGCCATGAGTATCAGGCAAAGAGCTGTCAGTCACGTGGACTTAGTTGTTCTGTTATCAGTGTAATGATCTCATTGCTGTCCTCCCTCAGGATGAGCAACATGAGAATTCACTGTGAGGCTCGATAGCTCCTAATTAAAAAATACTAAGTTGCACCAGAGAGTAGAAATACATATATGAAACTCCAGCCATTCTAATTGGTACCTTGGAATAAAGCCCGGAAAAGAAAATATACTTGCTGACACAAGTAAACTTTTCTGAAGCCAACTTGATAATTATATAGTAACTAGGTTTGGACGCACACCGTAACCTATTAGATAATTAAATTTATCAGATACGTTGATTCCGCTTTAATCCTATTGAAATTTAATATTTTTACAAATTATGTAATTACAATGGTGTTTGTGGTTTTATTTTTTTTCATTGAGATAGGTTCCAAATAATTACTGGCAAAAATTTTGAATTTTTTATTTCCATTTCTAGTGCTGAGCTGGGAATTATTTTATGGAAGGAAAAATCTGAGTCACCTTTATGTCCCGTTTCTAGCCCCATATCCCCCACACTGTGTTTTTAGAGCTGTCTGAATTGAACAGTATTGCTACAGAGATGATGTCTCTTATTAATAACTAATACTCAATGTCATGTGCTTTCAAAGTAAGAAGCTCTGCGTTCTCACTTCCCCAAACAGCCTTGGCATCATGATGCTCTCAGCCCATGTGGGAAAAATAGAACTTCTGTCCTCTGTGACTGTGGGATGCTTTGCTGTGTGCTCCCGAGCTGGAAGAGAACTGGCATGAACGCAGTTCTTAAGCTCGGAGAACTTCCTTCCCGTTCCTCTCCATAGGTGTCCTAAGACTGATGCTAATATGGATTAGGCAGTCACATGGCTCTCAGTGGTGCCTGTGGGTTTTGTGATGGCTTGGTAATTTTCCATTCATCACAGATTTCTATACTCCATTTTCTTCCGTACGTGTTCAATCAAGTATCCGCCTGTGTTGACTTGAAAATCACTCTTAAGTCTTTAGTACATTGGCTAGAGGCCTGATTGGCTCATTCTTTGTAATCCTCACCTTTCCATTTAGCAACCTATTTATTTTCATCAATTGGTCTCTTCTATGAAAAACATACCTGTTTCTTTTTCATATGTAATTCACAGACCTTGTAATTCACCATTTGCAAAAGTTACCTAATTTTTAGATGTTCTCAAATGCAATCATTCTGTTTATACATGATGTTTTAAAGCATCATGATTGGCTGGCATATACTCTAGGTCTTCTGGCTCTCTCTTTCCATCATTTCTTCAAATCCCACCTGACATTATTGTATGAATGTCTGAGTGTTGTATATAGGAGATTACTGCTAATACATAGCTGGCATATAAAAATTACTGCTTAGACTTAAAAAAAATCACCTAAGGGGAGAACTTCATCTTTAACCAGAGTGGAGTAACTAGAATAGGACTTTGTCTCCCAACATAAAGAGCTGGAAAACTGTACAAGATATACAAAGCCACTCTTTGCCAACAGTGACCCCAAAATAGTGCAGGACCATTACAAGCAGTGCAGGACCGTTACCTCTGAGAGAAAGGAAATGCATGGAAGTACCCTCCAATTCCTCCACTGTCTGCACGAAGGCATCCTGTACCATAGCTTGTCTATTTTTGTAAGAGTGATATCTACATAATATGGTTCTAACTTTGTGTAAGGATAAGAAAGAACTGGAGAGATATAAATAGCACTAAAATCTAGAATGACAAATTGTTATCATGGCTGTGAGTTATCTGTTGATAATAGCTTTGTGATTATGAACATAAAATTCTTGATTTCAATATTCAAAAAATATTAAAAGTGATATCCAATTTTGAATTCAGCTGATAAAAATCTTTTTAAAAGATTTTATTTATTTATTTGAGAAGTGGAGTTACAGACAGTGAGAAGGAGACACAGAGAGAGAGGTCTTCGATCTACTGGTTCACTCCCCAAATGGCTGCAATGGCTAGAGCTGAGCTGATCCGAAGTCAGGAGCCAGGAGCTTCTTCCAGGGGGCCCAAGCGCCTGGACCATCTTCTACTGGGTTCCAGAACCATTAGCAGGGAGCTGTAACAGAAGAAGAGAAGCCAGGACAAGATGCTGGCACTGCAGGAGGAGGCTTAGCCTACTGCACTACAGTGCTGGTCCCCGAAGTGAACGAATGTAATTATGTGCTTTAATACAGTGAAATTTTACATGTACTTATATTATCAATGATTATCTTTGGGGATTCTGAAAATAACTATGTATACCTTATAAAGTTGATTTTATAATAATAACAATCTCAAAATAATAATTATTGCAAACTCTTAAAATTTCTTAGATTTAGACAGAATATACAATTTCTTAATGAATCTTAGGAAGTAATGAGAGTATGTTAGACTAATTTCCATTTAGTAATTCCTTGAGTTCCAATTTATATTAATGTTTTAACATTTTATTGTAAATATTAAAATATAACCAATATTAATTTTAAAAATAATGTAGCTTATATATAACTTTCTAAGATTGATTACTGAAATTTAATGAATGCTTATTATCATGCAATTATTCTCAGTACATAATTTTTTAAAAAAGATTTACTTATTTATTTGAAAGGCAGTTAGAGAAAGAAAGACAGAGGGAGAGATCCTCCACTTAATGGTTCACTCCCTAAATGGCCACAAGGGCTGGAGCTGAGCCAATCGGAAACCAGGAGCAAGGAGCTTCTTCCAGGTTTCCCACATGGGTGCAGAAGCCCAAGTATCTGGGCCATCTTGCACTGCTTTCCCAGGTGCATTAGTGGGGAGCTAATAGCCTATGGCACCAGCATCCCGTATTGGCTTCAGTTTGAGTCCTGACTATTCCACAATAAGTGGCTTTACCTGGTATGCCACAGTGCCAGCTCACTCAATACATAATTTCGATAGACAGGGAATAAAATGTTTAGAAGATTTTTTGGAAGTCAGAATATTTTATGTTTTACATATCAAATTTTATATTTTAATGGAAAACTATAATGAAAATCCAATAGATAATTACAAGATATTAATACGGGGTTGACTAGTTATAATGAAAAGATAATACACACAAGATGTGTTTATATTTAAAACATAAAATTACTATATAAAACATAAAAATGTGTGTATTAACATGTATATATGTATGTGTGCATGTATGGAAAGATATATATATATATATATATGTATTTTTAAAGAAGTAGTTCATTTTATTTTATTCTATTCAACAGAATAAGCATACTACAATTCAAAAAGGAGATTGGCCCAATTAGATTTCCTTTCATAGACATTTTGCTTTTTATAGGAAGATAACCTGATGGTTTTAAGGAGAAGCAGTGAGCCAGTGGCTGATAGGGGCATATTACCTTAGTCATATTACTCTCTCTTTACTTTCTGTCTTTCCATTTCTGTTTCTCTGGTTGGTCATACAACTAATTGTACCAGCTTTGACTAAAGCTTTTTTTGTAGAACAAATGATTATATGACAAAGCAAATATTCCACTCAACTTTGCTAACTTCTATATGAACAAACTAAAGCTTCACATACTTACTACATCAATTTTAACTTTACTATCATTTAAATTAGAACTCAGAATCCAACCTGAAATACAGTAGGTCAAAGTTAACTAACATTCTAGTTTCTGAATGGGAAAATTTCATTAATTCTTAACCTTCTACACCACAGAACCAGTCCCTAATTTCATTAATTCTCTAAGTGTAAGTCAAATAATGTGTCCAGATGCTTTTTGCTTCACTTCTTCTCTGCATCTGGTAATAATTTTAAATTTGTAATTGCACTGAGACAGTGAGGCAGGGGGAAGAAATAGGAAAGAAGGTAATCCTGGTTCCTTCCACCCTGATTTCCAAGCCTGTATGGGAATTATCTGCTTTTGTATCTAAAGTAGGCTGCTTGAATTACTTTTATAGTTCACATTATTTTAAATAACCACTTTACTACATGTATTCTGTAAACTTAATGAGTATGAATTCTCACTTATGTAAATATGTCAGAAAACTTTAACATCATTTTAAGACATTATTATATTAATATGAAATGGCATTGTGGTTACAATAATTAGAAAAAAATAATATTTCCAGAAAGTAAAATTAAATAACTTAGACATTTTATATAAGAAAAATTTTATGGTAATGAATCCATTGTCTTAGTTTGCTTGTTAAATTCAAATTCATAATATTACTTTATAAATTATTGTGATTTACAAAAGTATATTATTTTTATTGCAGATTATCCAAAGATGACTACAAAGCTGACATTTCAAAAAGGTGAGCATTAATTATGTGTAAATTGGTAGCGTTTATGTAAGGCAGTTAGGTATTCAAATCTTAGTTTTATCTAGCACAGGATTATAACTTCATACGATCTTCTAGTAGATTTTGTTCAGTCAACATAGTCAAAAATTAGAAACAATATGTATGATATTTGATGAGGAGGTTGTAAACATATTTGTTCTCATCCTAAAGCAGCACAATATTTAGTTTTATATCACGCAGATTCCAGTGTCATACATGACATTTTAAGAGCTTCCAGATAGTAATTTAGATGTTGCTAGTCTTATTTTAGTTCTCTGGTCCCTAATCCCTTATTAATCTCAGTATTACATGGCATTTGCAAATTTCAGACAAAATCCTCCTGAATGGCCATATGTCTTAGACTTGTCAACAGTTCTAAATACCAAAGAAAGTGGTGATATTTAATGATAAACAATTGCCTATGTCCATTTTATTTAGTATTTTCATACAAATGTTTAATTCCATGACAGATTGTTTCACTTATTTTAACTAAGATAAATAATTTTTAGTGAACGTATTTTATCAGCACAAGAAAGATAATGTTACCAACAGATCAAGAAAACCAACCTCCTTTTAAAAGAGGCCTGCCTAGCAATTGATTTAATCTAGTAGCCATCATAACATTTAAACTTGAAAAAATATTAAACAAAAAGACCAAGTTATTTACCTTAGGACATGAAAGCACAGAATTCAAAGTGTATTTTAATTTACCATGTTGATTTAGTTGTCTAGGAAATAGTGGAAAATTTGTAATCAATGATGACCTTAAAATTTGTTCCCTGACCAATGAATTAAAATAAACTTAATAACAAATTTTGTACTACAACATAAGCAGATATTTGTATTTGCATTGATTTACAATTGTAAAAAATAGCTTCCTGTAAACATTGAATTAACAAAAATATTCAGGACTACAATTAAAAGAAGCCCCAAATGAATACTGCATAATTTTAAAGAGGTTTTTGTGCATCAACTAAAAGGAGATACTTTCATGAATAGAATACTAACTTAATAAAAACTAAACATGGAATTAGGAACAAATGTATATGCAAGTAAAATTTTTTTGTAAAATAATGATATCCCACATTTGATAACTCAGAAATCAATGATCTGCTAATTCAAATTTAATTCAGCACCCATTTACAGCAGAGGTTGTAGATGAAAACTGACAAAAATGCTACTTTTCAAAAAAAGATTTATTTATTTATTTGAAAGGCGGAGTCATAGAGGGGCAGAGAGAGAGAGACAGAGAGAGAGAAAGAGAGAGAGAGAGAGAGAGAGAGAGAGAGGTCTTCCATCTGCTGGTTCACTCCTTAGATGGCCAAAATGGCTGGAGCTGCGCCAATCCAAAACAAGGAGTCAGGAGCTTCTTCCAGGCCTCCCACATGGGTGCAGGGACCCAAGGACTTGGGCCATCTTCCAAATGCTTTCCCAGCCCATAGCAGAGAGCTGGATCTAAAGTGGAGCAGCCAGGACTCGAACTGGCGCCGACATGGGATACTGGCACTGCAGGCGATGGCCAGCCCCAAGAATGCTACTTTGCCTGACAAATATGGGAAATTTATTTTTTTTATTTGTAGCCATATTTTAAAGTATAAGTCTAAGAAGAATTACCCAATAGATGTGCATTTTTGACTTTGTCCCAAAAATAAATTCAGTCCTACAGTCTCATAAATAACTCCCAGTTACGGAATCTCTTAATTACATAAGTTATGTTATTTCCTATTCTTTATGTACAATATTTTTTACTCATCCACATTTTAAAGCATAAAATTCTTACACCATGGTTTAAAATTTCACAAAAAGTGCATGATAAAACTAAAACAAATCAGAATGATATTGAATGCATTTTTTTCATTCCCTTATAAATATTATGTTTTCATTCACCACAAATCATAGTAACATTCGCTTTGAAAAAGAGGTAAATGATACAAAGAAACCTCAACATTACAAATCACCAAGGAAATTCGAATCAAAACCATAGTAAGAGATCATCTCATGATACTGAAATTTGCTATTACCAAAATACAACACATGTTGGCAAGGATGCAGAGAAAAGGGAGCCCTGGAGCAATCCGGTGTGATTGTAATTAGAACAGCCATCATGGAAAACAGCGTGGAGGTTCCTCAAAAATTAAAAATAGAACCGCACATGGCCAGCAATCCCACAGCTGGGTGTGAACACAAAGGACATGAAATCAGTTTATGAAAGATGTGTCCGCACTCCTGGTTTATTGAATCATTATCCACAATAATCAAGGTATGGAATCAACCTGAAGGTTCATCAGTGGATGAATGGGAAGAGAAAATGTGATATGCATGCACAACCGGATACTCCTCAAACATAAAATAGTAGAAAATCCCATAATTCACACCAACACAACTAACTGCAGGATATGTCAGGTAAAGTGACCAGTCACAGAAAGACAAATACTTCATGTTCTCATATTTGGACTTTTTAAGGTTAATTTCATAAAAATAAAATTGAGTAGAATGTTGATTGTCAGAGACTCAGATGGCAGAGGAGGGTGGCCAGATTCACAATCAAAGAGGGAGAATCAGTTCAAGAGATTTATCGTACAGTATGGTGTCTATAATTAATGTCATACACTGTATTCTTGAGAAATGCTAGGAGACTGGATGTTAGGCTCTCTTATCACAAAAGTGATAAGTATATGAGGAGATGCACATTCTAATTAGCTGGATTTCACAATTCCACAATGTATAAGGACATTCAAAAAGTTTGTGGAAAAATTAAGCTGAAAAATAAGTGTATTTTGGTGCAAAAAATTTGAAATCCATTCATAGCTTTTTAATACTATGCATGTTCCACAATAATGTTAAAATGTCTTATATGCATGGATTTCAAAAAATTTTGCACCAAAGTAAGCTAATCTTTTATTTATTTATTTTTTATTCATTTATTTGAAAGGCAGAGTCACAGAGAGAGTCCATCTACTGGTTCACTCCCCAGATGGCTGTAATAGCAGGAGCTATGCCAATCTGAAGTCAGGAGCCAGGAGCTTCCACAGGGTCTCCCATGTGGGTGCAGGGGCCCAAGGATTTGGGTCATTTTCTACTGTTTTCCCAGGCCATAGCAGGGAGCTTATCGGAAGTGGAGCAGTCAGGACATGAACATATGCCCTTATGGGATGTCAGCACTGCAGCCAGCAACCTTACCCACTATGCCACAGTGCCAGTCTCAGTAAGCTTATCTTTTATTTTCATTTTCCACCAATATTTTAATTCCCTTCAAGACATCATATTCTACATGGTAAATATGAACAATCCCATCTGCCAATTAAAAAAATAAGTAAATAAATTTGAAAAAAATAGTTAAAATGAGAATAATAATAGCTTTCATATTGGGAATCACATAACATTCATTTCAGAAAACAAGCCCCAATAAACATTAAACAAAGTTAACTTTCAAATTGGCACTTGGAGAATTTTCACAAAATATATTTTTAAAATTATATTAAGAGGGGAAATTTTATTAACGACTTTTTATAGGACATCGTTTCTTCTCCAGATCTGCATTTGTTGTAGAAATCACACTGCGAATTCAGTGTGACTCCCCCATGTAAAAGGACATACCCAAGTTATTTGAACCATCAGCACTTCCTACCATGGTCTGTAATAGCAGGAAAGTGCAGTCAAAGGCCAGAGGCAACTTTCAAAACTCAAGAACGCTCATATGGAATGTCGGTGTCTTAACTGGTAGTACAATGCCTGCCCCTCTATGTTCTTTTTCTAGTAAAACATTTGTTGGCACTGCTTCCCTGAGATAGAAGAGCAAAACTGCTTTAAGATGTAAAAAGATATCATTGTTCATTTTTGCCACTCTGGTAATGTGGCTACCCGGGAGGAAATGGAGAAATCAGAAGCTTTGTTTTCACAATATCAAGCCAAATTTGCATTGTGATCATAATAATTTTGAATATCAGCTCAATTCTGTTCACATAGTATTCAGGTAGACAAACTTGTAACGTGGATCAGAGTGGCACAACCTTTGTGACAGCTATCTTTAGCCTGCCTTGGAGCACCATCAAAGAAGGATATTGGACATTTGCAAAAGCCTCTTCAATTCCTGAACATGTATTTCCTTTCTGCCTCTGCACTGTTGGAGCCACTCCAATGACTAGAACAAGAAAAAAAAAAAAAAAATGAGACACAGCCATGAAGGATGTCAGACCTCATACAGATATTAATTTCAGGAACTTCTAAGAATAGCAATGAAGGCTTCCAAACCCTAAAATGTTCATTTCCAATTTTAAAAGTTTAAATTATTCCTCTGCCCCTAATGACATTCTACATCTCAATTACACAAAATATTCATAAGCCTTTCCTAAATGTTGATGCACATAACCTTAATAGAAATAATTAAAGCAAACTTTTATCAAATATTTTTGTACCTCCAAAGCAAATAACCCAACAATTTTTATTTTTTCATTATTACGAAATTAATGTTTATAACCTATTTATTTATTATGAGAAATTTAGAACTTTTAAAACTATTTGACTATAGTTGTGTCTTCAATATTCTAAGTACCACCAGAGATGTGGTATGTAGTGTCAGTATTTTATAGGGATCTATGAAGTCAGATTTTTACTTACCTTTCATTTTTTATGTTTACCTTTTAAATAAGCAGTTATGTGAAAATTTAATTAAGATAACATTTATTAAAGAAGACTACTGATTTCTGATATTTTTATACTTTCTAGGAAAGCCTGATTTCTGCTTTTTGGAAGAAGATCCTGGTATTTGTCGAGGTTATATTACCAGATATTTTTATAACAATCAATCAAAACAATGTGAACGTTTCAAGTACGGTGGGTGCCTTGGCAATCTAAACAACTTTGAGTCACTGGAAGAATGCAAGAACACCTGTGAGAATCCAAGTAAGTTTATTTCCAACTCCTTGAAATCCATTTATAGGCATCTTTTAAAAATGAAAGTATGTCAGATTTCAGGCATACTCAGGTTTTGTTTTATCATGCAAATGAAGATGTAACCTTCATAATTCACTGTTTGCTGATCTACCATAGCAATATGAATAAAATTGGTAGATGTTCATTTTCCTTAATACAACTGTTGTGCATTGCTTCTTATGTGTAAATATGAAATTGCAACAATGTCGTCATATTTTAATTGGCTGTATGTTTTCCAGCGAGTGATTTCCAGGTGGATGACCATAGAACCCAGCTCAATACTGTGAATAACACTTTAATTAACCAGCCGACCAAGGCTCCCAGACGTTGGGGTAAGAATCATTGTCTTTATTGCTTCCTGAAAAATATTATCTTGGTAACAATAGAAGTGTAATATTTGAAATATTCCTTTAAAATACTATAAACCCATTGTGTTATTTTGTTAATAGCTGTGTTGAAACACTGAGATTCAAAGTCTCTGACACATAATCCCATAAAAATGATCAATTTCCTAATCTCTTTCAAAGTATGCTTTGAAGTAGGCTTTTGATTATGCATCATATGAAAACCTTTCCTTTGATATTTAACTCTAAGCCAAATTAACTTACAAAATAGTATCAGGAATTATCAGCCTCAGTGTATGATGATAAATCATTTCACTGGCAGTGGCATGTGGAAGGCAGTCTAAAGTGCTTTAACTGAGCATGGCACTGGGCAAGTGCTCTGGTATTAGTCACAGGGCAGAACAGAAAATGCTTAGAAGATCATATCTAAGGGTTACATCACTCTGGATAGAGTTTTCTTATGGGCTTCTACAGGATTCCTCTCTGGGTTGCACCCTGTTAACATATTTATCATATCTAAATGAACAATAGGGAAGATTCCCACAAAAATGCGTATCTGAGAAATTAATGATAATAGTGGAATACATAACAAGAAACCACAAATATCTGAACAGCTAGAAACAACCCAAAAAGTTGAAATTTAACAGTATATATATGAAAGGTCCTACCTAATTGGTGATAAAACTACTGTGTTATTTCAAAAATTGGAGATTTATATAGAAGTAGTCCTTGTGAGTCTTTCCAATGCAAACTTGGCATGAGTTTAAGGAGTTCCGTGGCTATAAAAATTGTAACCTTAGGATAAAAAAAATATGGTGCTTGGTAGAGTAGTTTTTCACCCTGGCCATGTATCTGAATCAGATGGGATTAGAAATCAGGATATTCTTTCACATCTCCGGTTTATAATAAACATATTATCAAGCAAGTAAACAAAACTCCTGCCCAGATTGTTTTAAAATACTGGCAATGTTCACTGTGCCTTACCTGGACTGAGGGCTGTGAATGCTCAGCTTACTTCCCCACCTACATGATCATCTGTGAGACGAGCCTCAACCCTGAGTGCCACCAGGTAGAAGTCAGAAAGAGAATTTGAAACATAGTTGTAGAAGGACTGCACAGTGTAAGGACACATGAAATACAACAAGGAGCATTATGTGTGTTCTGAGTACTCGAAATGCCATCATGTGAAAGGAAAATGACCTTTACACATGCCTCCCGTTTCAGTGCCTCGCCCAGACTTTGCCCATCCCATTCTAACCAGTCTAAGCATCAATTTTAAGGAGTGAACATTAAAATATGAATATCTTTCTGCTAAATTTTTATGAGATCTTCAAAAATGAATGTTTAAGGAATTGGTAAATTTCCTAATTTGTAGGTATTTAATCAGTGTTAAGATGCCATAAAGAGAATGCAAACTTCTCCTTTTGATGCTAGATGAACTGAAGTCTAATTTTTAAATACTATGCTGTTTGTATAACAGCTGTTTTATGCATAAAACTCAATGTTTTCATTGCATTTTTTTCTTTATGTCTTCCCAGCTTATGTCTTTCAAACATATTTTATCTACTTAAATGTCACATGTTCAAATGCATGCTAAATCTTATTGCTACAAACATATCACTTAGAATGACAAATGTTAACAGGTGTAAAGATATGTGATACAATATAGCTACATAAAATCATGGAATCAGTTTTTAAATATTTTAATATTTCTTTTTTAATTAATTCAAAGGGAGAGAGCTTTAGTCATTCGAAATTAAAATGAGTAGAGTAGGTGAGGGGATGGTTTTGTCTTTAAATTTTTGAAGCATAAATTTCATGAGTGTAGGCTGAATACTACTAAGATAGAAAGAGGGAAATGGAAAAAGTAGCATAAATGAGTTTTAAATATTTTCTGATCTATAATGTGTATTCTCTAGATTTTAAGGTAGATGAATATTGAAAAATAAATAAATACTGATTACATGAATAAAATATTAAATGAGGAGGAAAAATTGACAACATGAATTTAAAAGGAAATAATAACAAGAATCTTTAATAATAGACATTGAAGAAATTGTGTTTTATAGGAACTACACTTAAAATTCAGCACATCTCCTTTTCTATAAAACCATTTTAATTTTTGACTTTATATATCTGCCCCCAAATCTATATCGCTATAGCAACTTTTCTTCTTTGTCTATATATGATGTGTTCATATATTTTTTCTTTTTTGTAAACTTCTCAATCTAAAACATGAAACAATGCTGCATTATTCAGGGAATGTTGACTTTAAAAATGGCTTAACATGTAGGGGTTAGAAATGAAGCTATGCCTCCATTCCTCCTAAGACTCACATGATTCTTGATCTACCCTTTTCAAGATATAGAAAGTGGGACTGCAGATGTCCATCAACATTGTCTAAATCCTAGATAATCCCTTACCCATTCCATCTAAGAGATTTGCTGAGATCCATAAAGACCTCTTGCTTTCCCAGCTAAGAAATAATTACATCTATAATTGCTAGCAATTTTATTAATATATCCTAATTTTAGAAAATGCAGTTCTATGTAAAACCTTGTTATTCAAGAGTTACATCCACTGTTAAGTCTCTACAGTTATCAGTTTCTTCTAAAAAGATGTAAATTCTTAAAGTTTCAGTTCAGCATACAGGAATAATGGTCTATCCCACAACACAATTTATTTTACAATTCTTTTCATTAAATAATAACACCTGAGTAGAGTATTTGAATATTTTAGATGTAGTAATTATTTATTAAGGGAATACTTATAAACATAATTGATTTTTCAATGACAATACTAGAAAAGTATTTTACACTTGATCTTAGCCAAAAGGCTGAGAAATGATAGAAAAGCATTTTAAAAGCTATGTTTAAGCTTTACTAGTTACTAGAAAATGGCTTGGAATGATAAATTCTTTTTTAATTCACAATTTATTTTTAATTACTAGAATACCGTAAATGGATTTGAGAACATATTTTTCCAGTGGGCTTTCTTGACACCAGATACTTGAATACATATTTAGCACAATAAAGGTTTATTTTTATTTCCATATTTTAAGATTATCAAGTTACCCACAGGGCCTCAAAGATTGAGCTTTATTTTTCCTTAATGAAACTTTTTTAAAGAAAGCTTTTAATTAAAAAAAGAAAGCTTTTAATTAATAATACAAATTTCATAGCTACAACTTTATAAATATAGTGGTTCTTCCCTTCATACCCACCATCCCACCCCCATTCCCATCCTACCTCCTACTCCTTCTCCTATCCCATTCTTCATTAAGATTCGTTCTTAATTAACTTTATATACAGAAGACCAACTCTATACTAAGTAAAGATTTCAACAATTTGCACCAGCCCACATACAAAAAATATAAAGTACTTTTTGAGAGCAAGTTTTACAGTTAATTCTCATAGTAGAACTCAGAAAGGAGAGAGATTCTACATGGGGAGTAAGTGCACAGTGACTCCTGTTGTTGATTTAAAAATTGCCACTCTTATTTTTGAAGTCAGTGATTACCTGAGACTCTTGACATGAGCTGCCAAGACCTATATGGAAGTCTTTTGAGTCCACAAACTGTCAGTATTTAGACAGGGACATTAGCAAAGTGGAAGTTCTCTGCTCCCTTCAGAGAAAAGTACCTCCTTCTTTGGTGGCCCCTTCTTTCCACTGGGATCTCACTCACAGAGATCCTTCATGTAGATCGTTTTTTGCCAGAGTCTTGGCTTTCCATGCCTTAAGATCTGAATGCCTTAAGGGCTGATTCTGAGGTCAGAGTGCTTTTTAGGGCATTTGTTATTCTATGAGTTTGCTGTGTGGACTGCTTCCCATGTTGGAACTTTATCTCCTTTTTAATTCTATTTATTGTTATTACCAGACCCTTGGTCTTATTTATGAGATCCCTCTGACACTTAATCCTTTCTATATGATCAATTACATACTTAATATGATCACTTTAACATGTAAGATGTTAAATTTTTAAACACAGCCCTGAGCTCAAGAGAGAGCTTTATTTTTATAGAGTAGGAGTGGCTGAATTAATACGATATCTATGAAGTTAGAAAATGTTTGCCTCACAAATGTGAGAGAAAAAATTGTAAAGCATTTTCTCTAAATATGCATAGTTTTGTGTATAATATTTAGAATGAAAACACATTGCACTTGGTTCTCCTTGATTTTCTGTGATTGGCAGTATGGTGTAGTAGACAAACATCCCTAATCCTGAAGTCATGGGTTCAGATCCCAACTCTTTTGCTTAATAGTCGTGTAAGCCTAAGGTATTTCTTAACTTCCTTGAGTATTACCTTCCCACTGTGAAATGAAGTTGGAAATGCTATAGTATTAACCTGATCGGCTTTGTTATGAGGTTGAATCAGTCAATGTACAAAAATCTGCTTTTCACTTCCACAGGAAGCCTTCTTCCTCTTTCTTCCCCTACTTTCCATTGTGATTCATTTCATACTTGCATTTTTTTGTGTGTTGATTCTGTCTTGCTGACTGGATTAGAAGTTTTGTGAAGGAAGAAATAATGTATTCCTATTTTATTGACTGGCCCCTACCCCAGCATTTAGCCCAGTTTAAGGGCATGACAGATGACTCACATTTTTTATTTATCAATTTTGTGATTCACAGTTACAAAGGAAACAACAAATGATGGTTGGAAGAATGCTGTTCATACTTACCAAGTCTTTCTGATCGTCTTCTTCATTCATGCATCCATGTTATCTTTAGGATTGGATAGCATTTTATGAATTTGTTAATATTTATGTTTGAGGTATTTCCTTAATATGTGATGTCTCTGGAGCATAGTATTAATAAACTGTAGCATTTACGTGTATAGTTAATACACTCCTTGCCTTACATCTCACTGTAAATGTTTAAGTACTAAAGAAAACTTATGTTCTCAAGTGTTCATGTTGATTTGGGGTCTTTTCAGTGAAGCTGACCAGTCATGAAGATAAGTGAATTACTATTGTGGTTGTCAGAAAACCATTTGCTTCCATATAACTTTTAACAGGTGTCTTGGGACTACATCAATGTTATGACATTTTGGGAAACAAATCTTTGGTAAACTTCGAAAACCTACTTCCAACCAATTTGATAGTTGCTCTCTGACTGAAAAAAGGAAAAACTATATACCTTGCTGAGTCCCACGTTGCTCCCTACCAGCCTCCAAATCCAGGGAAAATGATGGGACGTCATCATGAAAACCATTTGATTACTTCACACTCTCTCTCTCTTATCTATATACAATGTATGACCTAATGTCCAGATTCCATACATTAATGGAAAAAAGTGGAAAGAAATAAAACTGTATACTTTAAAAAAAGATTTTTGGTTATCATTGGCCCTCTGGAAAAGGTGCTACCCAGGTAAAGAACATAATAAACAGCTAAACACCATCACCGATAATGTCAACTTATGGATGTGCAGGAGAATGTTGTTATCTATTTGACCTCTTGTTGAAAATGTGATTATATGGTAGATGAATGTTGCAACCACAGGAACCTTCCCTCACCAAAGAGTTGTACACACAGTTGCATAAATCACAGTGCTAAGGACAACTCGGAAAAAATCCATTTCATCTGCAAACCACTTCCATAGTTCTAAAGAAGTATCTGCTTTTCCAGAATGTGTTCTCAGACCAAGAAGCATAAAAATATTCTTTATAATCTAAATATGCTTGCATAGTGTATGAAGCCTCATACGCAGATTTTGACATTTTGACTTCAAAAATAAACAGCTTTTGGAGAGCACCCATCAGGCCTTCTACTTCCTGGCAGTTGGGCTGATGAGAAACAAAAATGTGGCACTTCAGCTTAGCCAAAATTGCTGCCATCCAAATGCAGTCACCCTGAGTGACCACTGCTACTTGTCTAATCTCTTTCTTCCTGGATAATCTGGAGCTTTATCAAATATTTTTTTTTTTTGCCTCAGTTTTAAGAGTTTTCAGAGAAGTGAATTTCGAACTTGAATGGTATACAGATGTCTTTAAAGTGGAAAAATTATGGGCATTAGTTTGTAAACAAAATTATTTTAAGTGACATTAATTTTCAGTAACTAGTAAAATAGTAAGAATAAACATCTGAAGGGTGTGACCACCAATAAGCTATACATTAAAACTTATTTACAGAGTAATAAAATTCAAATTATAAACTAACAAATTAATAATGATAATTTAATAAAACATTTTTCTCTAAGGATAGAAATACCCCCTTTAAAGTATGAATTTGTTATTGACTGCTGTGGGACAGGTTAGGATCAAGATAGGCAAAGTTTAGAAAGCCTCGTGCTAGTCTGTTTATGTAGTTCTGTTACTGCCCCTTTTTCCATTTGAATTCTAGGTAATCTATGCAGAAATAAATATAAGAAGCATAGATATAATAAGCATTGATTAAGAAAATTTTAACTCTAACTTTCATAGGAACATAGCCAAAAGGTTTATAGTTTTTTGTTTATCTCAAATAATGGTATTAAATTGATCTGACAAGAGCAAATGTGGTACCAGAGTGCAGAGACTTGGAACTTTGCTTTGTTATTTTTGGTCTGTTATTTTTAGATTGAACATGCCAACCTGACAATTCTTGCCTGAAAAGTCTGAGCTGTTTGAAAACTGTTTGGTTTGGCATTATTGTCCCCATAACTTGTTTATAAGTTTAATTTATATTATGATTATCTGAAAAGCTATATGCCACTGTAATAGCCATTATAAAACAGATACACTTTTCATGTCTTTGGATATTATTTTTGGTCAGACGACTTGTTAACCCATATCTCCAGTTCTATCTTTTGACCTTAGAGAGACATGTAAGTCTGTGTACTTCTTAATTCCAGTACAATTTAACCAACACTGGGATCCTCTTAGATGATGGGAGCTATCAAAGGTACCTAAAATATCAGAATAATAAATATGATTGTGGTTATATCCTTCACAGACATGCCTGTCAAATAGGGGATGGATTTAGACACATTGATGACTTCAATGTTATCTTAGATGTTAAGGTAGAGCCTTGCACAACAGCATTTTGGAAGGACAAAGTCATAAAAATATTATACATTCATTGAACAAAGTCAGAATTCTCTGTGTTCTCCCAACTGAGGTTCCAATCTTCCATCTTCCATCTTGGATTTATTTACATAGGTACTGGCTAATCTCATAGGGACTTTTCTATGTAAGGCCACAATAAAACAAAAACCACAATTGAATTATAAATTATGAAACCATTTTGGTTATAATTAATTCTATAACATTTTATAATATAGAAAAACATTCCACAACCTAAGCTAATCATTCTAGAAACACTAGACTTACTCTGCTTCTAAATCTCTTTCTTCCCACATTCATCCTAATTTTAACCATTCTCCTGGATATAGCTTAAGTTGCTTTTGTGTAATCTCTATTTTAGGTTATTGGATTCAACTCACACATGTATGGTTAAGTTAGCTTCATCAAGGAAGATCAGAATTGTCTATTTCATCTTTCAATGCTTCCAGGGGTTCACCAATGTTTACATCATAAAATCCAAGTATATTAATGTTCAGGAAGCTTCTTAATTTTGCCTAAATCTACCTTTCCAATTCATATATTCTGCTCTTCAAATAATTTGGAGTTGGCAAAGTACCTGAACAAACCAGAAATATTCCAACTTTTGTTTTCTTTTTAATTAATTAAATTGTATTAATCAAATTAATTAATTGTATTAATTAAATTAATTAATCAATTAATTAAAAAGGCAGAGATGCAGAGAGAGATTTTCCATCTGCTGGTTCACTCCAAATTGGCTGGAGCTGGTCCAGTTGGAAGCCAGGAGCCAGGAGCTTCTTCCACGTCTCCCACAAGGGTGCAGGAGCCCATGTTTGGGCCATCTTCTGCTACTTTCCCAGGAATGTTAGCAGAGAGCTGGATCGGAAGTGGAGCAGCAGGAACTCGAACCATTGCCCAATGGGATGTCAGTGCCACAGGAAGTGGATTTATCTGCTATACCACAGCTCTGGCCCCTTGTATTCTTTATTTCCAACATTCACACATGCACCTGTCTCCTCGATTTATTAAAACCACAATTTTGATGCAACAGTGAAGATACCTCTTGGAATTGCTGCATCCCATATGGGAGTTCTGAGTTTGAATCCCAGCTCCATTTCTGATTCCTGCCTTTTGATAATGAGCACCCTGGAAGGCAGCAGATGAGGACTCAAGTACTTGGGCTCTGGTCACCCACCTGGAAGACTCAGATCCTGGCTTCGAGCTATGCCCTGGTCCAGTACTGGCTGTATTCATCATCTGGTGAGTGAACAAGCAGAAGGAAGATTTTATCTCCCTGCCTTACAAGTAAATGTAAACACATAAAGATTTAAAATAAACAAAATTCCATTTTTTTCTTTGAAAGCTGATTGACAAAGTAAACACTGATTTTCACCTTTACTAAAATCATAGTTTTTTTTTAACTTTTATTTAATGAATATAAATTTCCAAAGTACGATTTATGGATTACAATGGCTTCCTCCCCATACCGTCCCTCCCACCCACAACCCTCCCCTTTCCCACTCCCTCTCCACTTCCATTCACATCAAGATTCATTTTCGATTATTTTAATATACAGAAGATCAGCTTAGTATACATTAAGTATGGATTTCAAAAGTTTGCTCCCACACAGAAACATAAAGTGAAAAATAATAGATGATTTTTTTTTTAAATGATGATGAAATCAGATCAGACCTATTGTCATGTTTAATCCCAGTGAGAGTCAAGTTGGGAATTGATAATTTCTTTTTTTTTTTTTTTACAGAAGATCAGTTTAGTATGCATTAAGTAAGGATTTCAACAGTTTGCACCCCCATAGAAACACAAAGTGAAATATATTGTTTGAGTACTCGTTATAGCATTAAATCTCAATGCACAGCACATTAAGGACAGAGATCCTACATGAGGAGTAAGTGCACAGTGACTCCTGTTGTTGACTTTACCAATTGACACTCCTGTCTATGGCATCAGTAATCTCCCTATGCTCCAGTCATGAGTTTCCAAGGCTATGGAAGCCCCTTGAGTTCTCCGACTCTTATCTTGTTTAGACAAGGTCATAGTCAAAGTGGAGGTTCTCTCCTCCCTTCAGAGAAAGGTACCTCCTTCTTTGAAGACCTGTTCTTTCCACTGGGATCTCACTCACAGAGATCTTTTGCCAGAGTGTCTTGGCTTTCCATGCCTGAAATACTCTCATGGGCTTTTCAGCCAGATCCGAATGCCTTTAGGGCTGATTCTGAGGCCAGAGTGCTATTTAGGACATCTGCCATTCTATGAGTCTGCTGAGTATCTCACTTCCCATGTTGGATCACTCTCCCCTTTATGTATTCTATCGGTTAGTGTTAGCAGGTACTAGACATGTTTATGTGCTCCCTTTGACTCTTAGTCCTTTCATTATGATCAATTGTGAACTGAAATTGATCACTTGGAATAGTGAGATGGCATTGGTACATGCCACCTTGATGGGATTGAATTGGAATCCCCTGGTATGTTTCTAACTCTACCATTTGGGGCAAGTCAGCTTGAGCATGTCCCAAATTATACATCTCTTCCCTCTCTTATTCCCACTCTTATGTTTAACAGGGATCACATTTCAGTTAATTTTCAACACTTAAGAATAACTGTGTATTAATTACAGAATTAAACCAGTCATATTAAGTAGAACAGACAAAAAAAACTACTAAGAGGGATAATGTATTAAGTTGTTCATTAACAGTCAGGGCTATGCTGATCAAGTCACCGTTTCCCATAGTGTCCTTTTCACTTCAACAGGTTTCCTTTTTGGTGTTCAGTCACAAAGTAAACACTGATTTTCACCTTTACTAAAATCATAGTTTTTTTAAAAATTTTGTGCCTATGTCATACAAAGGTTTTCTGATGTATTAGAAGATATAACTATTTTAAAAGATTAATACTCATAGAAGTTTCATGATTAGTAATTTTATTGTGACTTTCTTTGTGATCTGTTTAGGAAAAAATCTCTGAATTAAGATGACTTTGTGAATTCTACCCATGGCATAAGCAATATCTAGGCAAAGAAATCAACCCTACAAATATCTGTTTCTCCTTTTCTTATTTAATCTGGACAGGCTTTCCTGTCTGAGAAAGAATTCTTACAGCCCACTTCCCATGACTTCTCCCAAGCCCTTGACAACCCACCTTCTACATTACACCCTTAACTAAGTGGCCCCACTACATACAGAATTTAAAAAATGACTTTTGTGACTACTTTCTCTGTCCCTACCTTCTTTGCTCTTCTATTGGAAATGGAAGTTTCTGCCCATTTAACAACACTTGCCCCTATGAATAAC